ATTTTTTAATTTAATAAAATTTTAAATCGTATAACTACGTTTGACTATATTTATATATGTATATATATACACTTTTTAAAGTATTGAATATATTTTTATATATTAATGTGTATAATGTAGTAATTTAAATAGTTATATGCAGACAAAAAGATGTATCGTCAAAACGGTCTACCGCCGGTAAAAAATTATCATTTAGAATTTTCTTTAAGAAAATTTCTTACGGGCGACTAGCGATACACCAATTTGTTCGTAGTAGGTACTTCAGTGAGCCTCAAATCGACGCGCATGCGCTAAAAAGCGCGACCATTCTGGCATCACTGTATCAGACCACCGTTGGATTTCGGTGGAGCTCGGTGCCCTCGCGTCCCTCGGGCGTCGCCGAGAGACGCGACCGCGATGGGCCCTGAAGAGGCTCCGCGAGGATGACCTGATTGCCTCCCTTGAGGCCGCCTGCTGGGTCCGGGGGGATGTCCCCGAGACCCGCGATACGGACCCCCAACAAGAGGCCGAGTGGATCGGGACAGCATTAGCGGCGGCGTGTAACGCCGCTATGCCCCGATCGAAAACTCGGCCTCGGCGGGCGGTCCACTGGTGGACGGAAGAAATTGCCGAGTTACGCCGGCAAGCCGTCCACCAGCAGCGAATATCCGCCCGCCATGCGCGCAAGGGCGGGCAGGCGGCCGAACGGGCAAGGGAGGGCTACCTGGCGGCCAAGGTAGCCCTCCGCAAGGCCATCAAGAAGGCTAAGGGCCAGGCGTGGACGGAGTTCATCGACTCCCTAAATGAAGATCCGTGGGGGCGCCCATATAAGATGGTCCTCAACAAATTGAGGCCATGGGCGCCCCCTCTAACGGAACGGTTGGACGCGGGATTCGTCCAGAGGGTGGTGCGTACCCTCTTCCCTGAAGATGACGGTGAGGAGGGCTGTTGGGGAACCTGCAATATCGACGCGGAACTCCGTGGCGCCGTCCTGACGGTGAGGGAGCGTGGCGTCTGGTTGCTAGGAGAGATATATGGCTAACTTCACAAAAAAAAATGTCGGTGCTTCTTGTCGTTGCGCACGGTCGTACTTTTTCGAGAAATCTTCCTCATTGATTGAGAACTGCGCGTATCTTCCGTTGATCTGAGCTACATCCAATTGGGGACGTGGTTACACTCGAGATCCGAAATAGCTAGGAGAATCAGAAGGCCTGGTCGCAGAGGAGGAAGGCCGGAAGTAAAGCAGTCGGGGAGTCCTCGTTCGACTCTCCGTCACTAACCGCAAGGTGAGAGTGTCCCTTGTTCGACTCTCATGCATAGCCGCAAGGTGACAGAGTCCCTGTTCGACTCTCTTTCATAGCCTCAGGGTGATAGAGTCCCTGCACGACTCTCTTTCACAGCCACAGGGTGATAGAGTCCTTGTACGACTCTCTTTCATTACCGCAAGGTGACAGAGTCCCGGTTCGACTCTTACATCAGTCTAAAGGCCCTCGCAGTAGGTGGGGTTCGTTCTGTTGCAGGTTGCGGCGCATTTATCTTTCCAGATTGCAGAAGCCCGTCTCTGTATCGCTGAAGTCAGGCGGCGCATTAAGATAGCACTCTATTTATGTTTCGTTTCACACTAAGATATTATTTAATTTACGTTTCACTTCATATGAAAATATTGCTTCATTTTTCGTTTCGTTACAACATTTATTCTTATAATATAGAGTTTGATAACACAGCACGCCTTGACATTTATTTTATAATACAGTCTGCTGGCACAACAAGGGCCCACCCTCATTGTCTGGGGAAGAATACCCAGACTGGGACGACTCCCTCGACGTCCAGCCGGATGAACTCCGGAAGGCCGTCAAAAGGGGATTAGTCCCAGTCTACAATAGATGATTTAAGCCCTAAGCTTTAAGAAATTGGCCAATCACGGTCAAGTATGAGTAGAATGCGCGACTGTGATTAGTCAATTTCTTAAGGCTTAGGGCTTAAATCTCTATTGTAGACTGGGACTTAAGAGGCAACACGGCCCCTGGTCCCGACGGCCTTCACAAGAAGGTCCACGCCT